TACAACCTCACTCAATCTCCTCGTCAAAAATGTTCAATTTTTAACATACCAACCTCACTCAATCTCCTCGTCAAACAATGTTCAATCTTTGATATACCAACCTCACTCAATCTCCTCGTCAAACAATGTTCAATCTTTGATATACCAACCTCACTCAATCTCCTCGTCAAACAATGTTCAATCTTTGATATACCAACCTCACTCAATCTCCTCGTCAAACAATGTTCAATCTTTGATATACCAACATCACTCAATCTCCTCGTCAAACAATGTTCAATCTTTAACATACCAACCTCACTCAATCTCCTCGTCAAACAATGTTCAATCTTTAACATACCAACCTCACTCAATCTCCTCGTCAAACAATGTTCAATCTTTGATATACCAACCTCACTCAATCTCCTCGTCAAACAATGTTCAATCTTTGATATACCAACCTCACTCAATCTCCTCGTCAAACAATGTTCAATCTTTGATATATCAACCTCACTCAATCTCCTCATCAAACAATGTTCAATCTATATCATACCAACCTCACTCAATCTCCTCATCAAACAATGTTCAATCTTTGATATACCAACCTCACTCAATCTCCTCGTCAAACAATGTTCAATCTTTAAAATACCAACCTCACTCAATCTCCTCGTCAAACAATGTTCAATCTTTGATATACCAACCTCACTCAATCTCCTCGTCAAACAATGTTCAATCTTTAACATACCAACCTCACTCAATCTCCTCGTCAAACAATGTTCAATCTTTGATATACCAACCTCACTCAATCTCCTCGTCAAACAATGTTCAATCTTTGATATACCAACCTCACTCAATCTCCTCGTCAAACAATGTTCAATCTTTGATATACCAACCTCACTCAATCTCCTCATCAAACAATGTTCAATCTTTGATATACCAACCTCACCCAATCTCCTCATCAAACAATGTTCAATCTTTGATATACCAACCTCACTCAATCTCCTCGTCAAACAATGTTCAATCTTTGATATACCAACCTCACTCAATCTCCTCGTCAAACAATGTTCAATCTTTGATATACCAACCTCACTCAATCTCCTCGTCAAACAATGTTCAATCTTTGATATACCAACCTCACTCAATCTCCTCGTCAAACAATGTTCAATCTTTGATATACCAACCTCACTCAATCTCCTCGTCAAACAATGTTCAATCTTTGATATACCAACCTCACTCAATCTCCTCGTCAAACAATGTTCAATCTTTGATATACCAACCTCACTCAATCTCCTCGTCAAACAATGTTCAATCTTTGATATACCAACCTCACTCAATCTCCTCGTCAAACAATGTCCAATCTTTGATATACCAACCTCACTCATCATGTTAGAACTTACCTATAACTAGTTAAAACATCATTTTAGAACTTACCTATAACTAATAAAAATATCATGTTAGAACTTACCTATAACTAGTAAAAACATCATGTTAGAACTTATCTATAACTAGTAAAAACATCATATTAGAACTTACCTATAACTAGTAAAAACATCATGTTAAACTTACCTATATCTAGTAAAAACATCATGATAGAACTTACCCGTAACTAGTAAAAACATCATGATAGAACTTACCTATAACTAGTAAAAACATCATGATAGAACTTACCTATAACTAGTAAAAACATCATGATAGAACTTACCTATAACTAGTAAAAACATCATGATAGAACTTACCTATAACTTGTAAAAACATCATGATAGAACTTACCTATAACTAGTAAAAACATCATGTTAGAACTTACCTATAACTAGTAAAAACATCATGATAGAACTTACCTATAACTAGTTAAACATCATGTTAGAACTTACCTATAACTAGTAAAAACATCATGTTAGAACTTACCTATAACTAGTATAAACATCATGTTAGAACTTACCTATAACTAGTAAAAACATCATGATAGAACTTACCTATAACTTGTAAAAACATCATGTTAGAACTTACCTATAACTAATAAAAACATCATGATAGAACTTACCTATAACTTGTAAAAACATCATGTTAGAACTTACCTATAACAAACTAAAATATCATGTTAGAACTTACCTATAACTAGTACAAATATCATGTTAGAACTTACCTCTAACTAGTAAAAATATCATGTTAGAACCGGAGGTTGTAATTTTGCAACTAAACATCCCAAACTTTCTGTTTAACTGAAGGATTAGGAAAACTTGGTATTTATAGTGCGTCTTGCCTCCTTATTGAATATAGTTTTATACTTTGTTTGATAAAATTTGCATATTGATTTGATGACGTATACTACATGTTCATTTTAATATTGATGAAGAACGCGCTCCTACGCAATCAAGTTTAATACATCTTGTACATGTTTTGTTTCGTTCTCAGACTCTACCCGATTGTAAGATGACATTATTTCTACTATTCCAAATTTCCTTTTTAAATTAAAATGGGTCCCCTTACTTTCATTTATGAAATACTTATATGAAAGTAGAGGTGTTCTAATGATTTGGAAAAATACCAGTTTGTGTCATGTCCATAATTAATTCATAATTAGCTACATTAGAAGAGAATTACCAGCAGAATTCCAATGAGTGACCGATCAAGAAAGTTCAAAAAGTCTCCTTTTTTTATACAGACTGTATATACATGGACATTTATGATTGGTTAAAACTCTTAATTATATGCAATAAGAACATAATGATATGATTAATAATACATGATAATTCATTAGAAACACCAATTAATCAAATAGTTTGCTTAATTTGACACTAAAAAAATAAGGAAACCTATCTTTAATTGAATGTGTTTTCATCACTACTGGCGAAGTAAACTTCCGACAATCGCAATCTTTAACATTTTTTATTTCATTCATATTTCCTTGGTCTGAACTCGAGAGTAATATGTTATTATTTTTAATTTTCTTTCTTTTTAGAATGAATGTGTTTCGTGAAAGTTGTTCATAAAGTTTGTTTTCTTGTGCTCTTTCTTGTCACTTAATCTGATTACGGTTGGACCGATCACTAGAAGTCTACAGGGTTACCCTTTACATGTTGATGTTTTTGATTAAAAAGTAGTAAGCTCATTAGAATCTTTCAGACCAGTTTTCTTTGGTACAAGATCTAGGCAATATTTGTGTTGCTAGTATTAATATTGATTAAGGGAACTTGGTTGTCTAATTATACAGTAGATAAGACCGGTGTCTAAAAGGTCTAGAATCAAGCTCTTTACGGTATGAAGGCACATATAATCCACTTTAACTTCACCAAGAACGTTTGTGATTTGTGATGTCTCTATACTAATTAACATGATGTAACCCTAACCCTAACCTAACCCTAACCCTATCATTTTACACGGTGAAAGAATGGCATGTGACCCTTCCCCCTCCCCCCCCCCCCCCCCTCTCTGAAAATCGATTGCAAGAAAACCATAAAGAAATTTATAATAAAACACCTTAAAAAGACTTTCAGGTTAATGGACAAACTTCAGCCACTGCACCATCGTGTGATTGGTAGAAGTAAACTTTAAAACAACATCATAAAAAGACAAATATAAAAACCCAATCCGTTTTATTATAATTATATTCAATCAACTTAAATAATTACAAACTTTATAAACACTTGTACAGATAACCATAATAACATCAAATATACAAATATATACTATAGAGGTGGACTGTATTTAGGTTTGTATTTTATAGACAAATAGATCTTAAATTAATGGTTGATAAAGATTCTTGTTTGTGAAAAGAAACGTTGCTGAAAAAAAAAAGGGAAGAACTATTGCCAAACCGTTATTTTGGATTCGAATTTGGTTTTGAGTTTCAGACCAATAGTATTTGTGGGGTTTTTTATTTTTATATCTATAACAGTTTTATATTTATGGTGTGTGCCAAGTCGAAAATCTTTTTTTCTGGAAAAACAGAGGAAACCAGCGTCTGATATAAATCGATACAACAGTAAAATAAGAGCCTTTACGTCTACAATGTCAAGCTATTACGAACTTATACCTTGACTGCAATAAGCACCTTTCTTGTATTACGGAATGCTGCCATTTGATTGGATTGCTCGTTAGAAATTACAGCCAACCAGAGCCCTCAACATGAAGACTGTATACATTATGGTTTATGATTTACAGTCTTTATGTTAAAGGCTCTGATTGACTGTATTCGGTAGCGTACATGATGCAAGAATAAGCTATTACAGTCAAAGTATAAGACAATGTTCGTTATAGCTACACATTGTGAAGGTGGTACGTCTACGAGTGTAAACCTATCAGTAACTATCTTATATTTGTGTTTTTCTAGAATAACTAATCAAAGAGTTGGTAAATAAATCAGGTAAGTTTTGATCAGAATAGTAGGTAGGTAAATCAATTAGGTTAGAATAGTAGGTAGGTAGGTATATAATATTATGTGAATAATGAATAAGCTATATAAATAATCAGAATCTCATTTACCAGACAAATTTATTTAATTTATTTATTTAGACATGAATTATATTCCGTTTTCTCTTGATCTCTTTAATAAATTATGAAATAATTAGAATATTTACTATTTGTAAAACATATAGAGGAAGATTACATTAAAATTATTATAATATATGAGTAGAACTCCTCAGACGGCCTGACAAATTCAGAATAATTAGAATATAGTTGGAAACTGATTAACAATGAATAAAGGTCATCAAGTTTGGGGTGGAAAGAATTTATCAAATTTAGAATATATCTGATCTGACCCCTAATGAATTTTCCTTTCTTAGCTTGACCTCAGTATAAAAAATATCTAAATTTAAAATAAATATCTATAAACACATCATAAATAGGAATATTAAAACAGAACCTAAAAAAACATGTTGTTACTCAGAGTTACTCTAATGTCTGAAGATCACATATCGTGAAACTCTCAGTAACAACATGTTACAAGTTCTGTTTTTATATTTCTATTTCTATATATTTCTATATAACACAATATAATATTATATATTTATTATACACAGTAAAATAATAATTTGTGACGTTCAACACGTGACTCACCCAGGCTACATATAAAAATGAAAAGTTTAAGAACAGAAATTCCACTATAAGAAAACTTCATAATTTATTTTGTAATCCGCTAAAAAAACATGAAATAATAAAAGTTTATTTTATCTCAATATAATACGAGCGAGTAAAAATTTATATCTTTTCAAATTTCAACCAATGAACACTTTGTTGTGAAATCATATTTTCATATTTTTTCTGTATCTCTGTATTTGTCTGAATTAAGTCATGTAACTGACAAATTTAAGTCAACGGGCACCTGACATAATTTTTGATTGCATGCTTTGATATTCCATGTAATGTTCAAGGGAGAGCATACGTCAGTTTCAAAATAACATTTTATATAAGAAAATAGAACAATCAGAACTTAACTAAACAATATGTTTGAAGAGATTTTTGAAAACACGCCAAGAAATTGGCACATAATTCAATTTTCATGTATCTTTAACATTGGTTGACGTAATAACACCCACCCCGATGAACCCGAACCCTTTTTCTTCTCACCTTAATTCACCATCACCCCCCCTTCCCCTATCGGGATTCACATCGGTTGAATTAATGTAACAATGTAGACAATGTTACGATCATAGCTAACAGTAAACCAGATATCGTCATCATGGAGGCGTTGTTATCTGTAATAGAAGAAAATTGATGTGAAATATAATTAAGAGAAAAATGTAATGGATTAAAATGAAACACTTTATGTTTAAGCATTACTATCACGCGTAAAACTAAATGTTCTATTGGCAAACTAAAATACCAACTTAATATGTAAGCTTAGTTTATATTGAGTGAAACGACTATAAAATGAATCAACTTACTTCCAAGGCTATCAAAATTGCTTGTTGTGGTTTCTTCAGCTACAAAAGGACAAACAAGCATTATCATTTTTTAGATTGGCAAAACAGTTTTTACTCATCTGTGTTTGTTGTACGGAAGGTTAGATATATGGCGTGAAACTCTGAGTAACAATATGATTCAAGCTCTGTTTTAATATTTCTATTTCTAAAGGTTGATATAATCTCCACATTTATTTTGAAGAAATAAATCTAACTATCCATTGTATTATTTATGCCCATTTTCTCGCTATATTGTTACTTCCGGTCAGTTGGGGTTTTATACAAAGTCTATTCTTTTCGAACATATATTATCTCCCTTGAACAAATTGTCTGTGACTCAGTTCTTGGGAAATCTAAGTCTTTGTCATTATTAATTACGCTTATTCCACAAAATTTGAAGGCTTTGTGAAGCCAAAGCAATTGCTTATGTCTTGTCGGTAATCATATACGCATCTTGTACATTTACTTGACTATTGAATGGATCTGGCTGAAACTGAATATTACACGTTGAATGTCAGTCTAATTAAAATTAGACCAAACTGTCGACAGCCCTCTTGAACGTTCGTCAAATTAACTGCTCTAACCAATCAAATTTCTACCTTCTCCAGCGCTGGCATTTTGTTACGCGTGTTTATCAGGTTAGGCCAAAACGTTAATTTGACGACGTTCCAGATGACAGTCGTTAGACCCTAACTGAAGTGGCTATATAAAAAATAAAAGCTAATAAAAAAAAGTTTGTTCTGATTTTAATTAGACCGGCTGAAATATTTACTGATTATCTATTTCTACTTACAGTCGCCTGGTTCTGTAACGTCTGATGTTTTATCATCACCAGCCGAGGCTCTAAATGGCTTTCCTGAAATAGATGGGCTGAATGTTAGGACCATGTCAGTGTGTATTAGACCTAATTCTGTCCCTTGTAAAATAAAGAATCTATATTTGTGCCCAAGGGCTGAATGAAGGGTTAGACAGGACCATGTCCTTGTGGATTAAACCTAATTCTGACCCAATGTAAAATTAAGAGTCTATGTTTATTTCTACTTTTATTCCAGGGTAAGAAGCAGAGACATATAAATAGGGACAGTAAATATAACATACCTGATGAAGCAGACACTGTTGACGTTTCAGCAGACGGTACGTCAGAGTTAAGCGTAGTTGTAGCGGATGGAACTTCTTCTACTCTTTCACTGGTTTCTGTTATCGGGATTTCAGCAGTGGTAGTAGTAGAATTTGATTGTACTTCATAGGCGGTGTAATTATATGGTTGATAATCTGACTCGGTAGTGGTTGTTCTGTTGTTATTGAATACAGCGCTGATTCTTGTTGTAGCATTGTCACTATGAGATTCTGTTACATTGTTATTATTGAAAACACTGGACTCTGTTGTCATGTTGTCGCGATAATCGGTATCGTTGTTATTGAGAACTGACATAAAATAAATACAAAATAATTTAATTGTTGATCTGAATATTTCGTTTTGTGCCGTTTTGTATATTAAAAGTTATATGACATTGAATTTGGACGAATTCAATAATGTCATCATTCGCCAATAATGTTCTTTTAGATTTCGAGTTTCGTTTGCGGTTCGGATCGTTAGTATTTTGTTAATTCATAAATTTAATTTTGATTAAGATTTTCAATAACTTACTGTTTTGTCTGGTTGTTGAATTCCATGAGTTAGTTTCATTGATATCTAGAAAATAAAACAGAACGTATAAAAACTGTTCAGAGTGACCGAGGTTAGTTAGTGGTTATTTCCCTTTTTGTTTTTGTACGTCAAAATGTCGCCTTCCGTTAATCGATTCATAATAGATCTTTTAAGATTGTCGATTACATATTTTGTAACTATACTACTTACCTGTCCAGGAGTTGGTAGAATTATACAGATATTGTTCTGATCATCATGAAAAATAAAACAAATAGCTGTATATATATAATCTTTCAACGGAATATTAGAATCACAAGATATAGATAAATAAGACAATTATAAATATACCATTAGTATCTATCCATAACATTGTCTTATTTATATAGTTAACTACTTCTTCATTGACACCCATTGTCACACCTTCCAAAAACAAACCTAGCCATACTCATGAAACATTCAGACAATGGGGTCCGACGAAATTGAAGCCGTATTGATTAATAAATGATGATATTAAAATAGATATGTCACCTAAAGGATAATATTTCACCTTGGAATTAACTCTATTCTAAGTGTAGTTTGGATGGGGGGGTGGGAGAGGGGGAGGGGGGTAGATGAGAAACTCACTAGTCATGTATCATAAAATCGTAAGTCGAAGCTTGCATCTTTCCGACAAATCATTAAGGCAATGTCAAGACACGAAGGAACCATTTTTCAAACAGTTAAATAGCAATGAATATCAAATACGAACCAGTAGTATGTTGTGGTGCATCTGTATCTAGGTTTGTAACATAATCGACGGTGGTGGTTCGAGGAGTTGTGGGAACAAGGGTTGATGGAAATGTCGTCGTATCACAACCTCCAATATCAATCATTCCTGAAATCATAACGTTGAAAATCATAAAAATTGGGAAACATTAGATCATTAGCGTTAAGGGGACAAGTTCGCTTTACGTTTGACCAATCATACCTTAGTCTCCGAAACAGGAATTTTCTTGTTTAAGCTAAGCAGTAATGGTGTAAACAGTTCACCGTCGAAAGATAGATCATAAGCGTTTACGCTCTAGTTATAATGATACGGTGTAAATTTACTAGTAGAGTTACTGATAGCCTGGTTAATCTCGACTAGGTCTGTAGAATTACTTACTGTAGCAGTTATAAGGACACGGTGTAAATTTACTAGTAGAGTTACTGATAGCCTGGTTAATCTCGACTCGGTCTGTAGAATTACTTACTGTAGCAGTAATAAGGACACGGTGTAAATTTAATAGTAGAGTTACTGATAGCCTGGTTAATCTCGACTCGGTCTGTAGAATTACTTACTGTAACAGTTATAAGGACACGGTGTAAATTTACTAGTAGAGTTACTGACAGCCTGGTTGATCTCGACTCGGTCTGTAGAGTTACAGCTCGTGGTGTTATCGTTCATACAAGTAACATACTCATGGTGGTATCTGAAAAGATGAAATAAAACGGAGTTAAAGGTATTCCACACCTGAACTGACTATTGAAGACACCCTCCAGTGTACAATAAGGGATATTATGCCAGGACAGTAGTATTAGTTTAAGGTTGTCATATTGAAATAGTAGATCTAAATAGATCTTTAACCTACACAGCCTGTAGTACACAGTGTGTCGGTTTATTGTCCCATCCGAATGACTAAACGCTTTTTCCATGTCAGCCCCTCCGACCAGAATCACTAACAGGGTGAAACATGGTTGAAAAAATCAAACGTCTAACTGATTTGGCCACTGCGGCTCATGGTATTATTTCTTGAACGGATCATAGTAGCACCTTTTTTGATGAAATTTAAAATAAGATACTAACCTACAAGCGTCCTCTGGAATCGTAGAGGCTTCAGATTGTAAGTCCCAAGCTGAACAAGAACCAATCTGTAGAGTACATTGAGGAACTGTGAAATTATCAGCAAAGGCTGGAATATGAGAGTTGTTATTATCAGAACAGAACAGAACAGAATTAATTCACTGTATTGACAGTTCTAGTAATCATTAGTTGAAGGGGCGGACTAGGGGCAACAGAATTATCCAGCGGGCAAACAGCACCAGGTAATTAAATTGAAAATTTTGATACGCAATTTATAGACCAAATTTTAGTGTGGACTAATCAAGTAAAACTTCGATTCGAATTTCAGTAATAAACCTTCAAATATATCACTGATATTATACAATTTTATTTGATTCGCCGATCGTTTGATGAATTTTAATTTTGGCTAATCATAGTATATATTATATCACAAAATTGGTCATTTTGAATAGAGATTCTGCTTAAATGGATCTACATACTTTATAATACAAAATCAAATATAAAAACTTACATAAAACACAGTTATACGGTGGCCGCTTGTAGCTGTCTATCAAATTGTTCATTGCATCTAATAATGAGGTTCTTGTCGCCAAATCACAAGGTTGTAATACTCGATCTAAACATTCTAAAAACTCGTTTACCTTCCTGAAAATAAAGAGTGGTATTTAAAATAATAATCATATGGATAGTTATGAAGTGCTAGTATTCACATCACTGAGAGACATGCTCAAAGCTCTGAATAAGAAATCATATATGAATGAAGCCTTGAGACCCTCAAATCACCATCTTCACAATGTCCTTAAACAAGAGTTTATTGGATTGGAAAATCGTGTGTGGTATGTTACCTGTATGGTTGATTCTTACGCAGATTGGGTACACATACTGACTAGAAACGATGTGGATAAAATATCGGTAAAAAGTGCAGTACACTTACAAACATGTAGCTGTGTTGTTGTTTGCTCCGATTTGAGAAACTCCCATCTGGAATGAGATGGCACAGGTTTTGACATCGGCAACACAATCTGGATTTTCACAGTGTACTGTACCTACGATTAGAGAAGGTTGAAATATTAGACATGGCTACTATACCAGTTAATACCGACTCTCATTTCGTCAACAGTTCAAACGACCCAATAGAAGAGACGACAGTTTCCAGGTTTCCTGAAATCATGTATTCGTGGATGTTTTTGTCTGTCTGAAATAGTTAATAATTAAATATGTATAAAATAAGACTTGTAGCTCTGAGTAATTTAATATGTATACAATAAGACTTGTATCTACATGGAAAAAGCGTCTAGTCGTTCGGGTTGAACAATAAATCGAGGCCCCGGGTGCTATGCTGCGCACGTTAAAGATCCCTAGACAGTTGGAAATCGAAAAAAGAGCAGGCTAATGCTGCTGTCCTGGCAAAATTGCCCTCATTTCACCCTGCATGGCGTTGCCCGTTTTCATTAGCCCACATGGTGCAGAAAAGTAGGACGTAAAACTCCATTCATTTCATTTTTTTTTCACTTGTATCTATCATATATTTTGTGTGTTCAAGAAAATTTCAGATGCTTCTAAATACCAAGATGCTTTAAATCTATTCACAGTGAGCTTTTTAATAAACAGAATTTTACATTTCTCTTTAAGCTTAAATAAGCTCATACACAGCTTTACGTTTCCTCAGAGGTAGTATAGCTTTAACTTCTATCAAATATTGATCAACAGAACCAAGCTCTTTAATCTTAATATAAAGATGATAAATTGATATGATTGATACAGATATCGATTATATTTGATTTGGGATCGAACCAAATTCTTAAGGATTTGTCTAAATTTCCAACATCAGTGTTGTTTTTGACGCCAATTGTCAACATGTAATGAGAGACTCCGTCCACCATGACGTTATACTACCGATACACAATAGCATACGATGTAAATTTATCCCTATCAGTTATCAAAGCCAAACAACTTCTCCTATCTTGAGATTTCTCGCTAGTCGTGATTACCAGTAAAACAATCTAACAGTATTGACAAACCTCATGTTTAATTATAAAAATAAATAAACGTTGTAATTCATTGTGTCCACAATCTGACCATGTTTTGTTGATTGTTTATTGGATGTGGGTCATACCTTCAAATTCTATAAATACATCTGAGCTCATTCTGTCATTCTATATTTCTATACAGAAAAACTGTAAGCATGGAACAATGTCTTGAGAAATAAATCTAATTTTTGTCTTATTTCTATCAGAGCATCTGCCCAACAGAGAAACATCTAGCTGATGTTCATGTCGTACTAACTATAATAAATGCCACACCTGACATCAGTAAGATTTGAATATCACGTGTCTTGAAGAAAACCTCCATTGAACCCAGCACTATCTGCCTTCTAATTAGACACGATAATAATAGATCGCGGTGCATCATTATCAGTCATAGTTTTCTGTCGAATTATGAAAAACGTCTTCAGAAGAAATATTAGTTAGAAAAATCTATCTAATAGAATTTGTATTGTCCAACATTATGATACAAGGTATTACTAAGGATGGTATTTGATACCTCACTGTGTTTATAAACCATCATACTGATTGACCGGGGACCAACACTATTTACACAGTCACCACTGGTGACCGGGGATTATCAGGGTTGGTCAACGATTGATTGATCTTCTGATCGGATTGAGGTGATCAATTATCGATGAATTCTAAATCCAATATATACATAATTCAACTTATTAACACAACCTTTTCAGATTACAGTCGTGTCCTGAAATCAATGTTTGGACTTCAGAGTTTTAATTCTATGGCCGTTTTCGAATGGCCCCAGTGTCCATTTTCGTTTTTAGGGCACTAGTCACATTGGGGGTCTTGGGATCTGGAGGGAGGAAGTCGTCATTAGTTAATGAAATGGGAAGTAACACTCTATCTAATCTAAATGGTGATCACAAGGAAAGAGAAAGATCATAAATTAAGGTCATTTGTAAAGAAAAACAAGAAATATAACAAAGAAAGATGATTATAAGATTGTAAACTTCAACTAATTATTTTTCACCCAGTTTTATGACACCTGCAAAAAAACAAGACGTTAAGAAAATATTTTAACTGTTACAAGTAAACTTTAATTGTATTTTAGTTTTTCAACATTTTGAAACATCACAGAGCTTAGTATGAAGACGAGATTTAAACCAAGGTCAAGGTCACCATTGACACACTATCAAGGCCCTCTGATGCAAATTTTAAAGGTGTGATGTCCCATTTTACTTCATCTACCTGGAGGATCTGAATATCTAAATTTATTTATTTATAGCCTACATACGAGGGCTGATTATAAAATGTTCTATGTCTAATTAAGACTCATATCAAGTCGCTGGTTTTCATTTACTGGTTTTCAGGTCTGGACAAAAATTATCTTCAACCACCAGCATAAAAGGTCATTAACAACGGAAATGACGTCACCATTACTCGGAAAATGGCTACTGGCTAGCTCTTTTTTCATTTTGGGAAACAGGCTTTAAACATGGTTACAAATCAGGTCAAATTATAAATAGGATCTGCTTCAAAACGGAATAAATTGTCACTGGACGTCAGGAATATTACAAGTTTCTGAATTGTCGAGGGCAGCAACTGTAAAAGATCCTATCATGATATGAATAATAACGTTTCGGGGATGTTAACATGTATGTTAACAGTGTTTCTGTGTGTCAGTCCGGTTTCGACTTTCACCGTAATACCCCTGTTTGGTGTTGTTGGATTGGAAGACAAACAAACCTCATACGGGTAGTTTGAATTGTCCCTATCTACAGCAAAGCTAATATTTAAACATTAATAAGCCTTCAACGAGCTTTCAGATGGTTAGAGAAATATGGGTGTATATATCTTTAATCCTGTCACATTCCGTCTTGTCTGACTGTAAATATTTTCTAAGATAAATGATAGAGTTGATAAAACTACTGTAAGTATCGGTGTAAACCTCGTGACATTTTGCTCGTTATTTCATTGTAACCTTTTCTATTTCACTGACTGATTACTGTACATGTTGGAGTAGAGAGGGGACGAGAGGAGACTAGAGGCCACTGATAGATGTTAAACACTAGATATCTTATTTATTTATCAGGGCTCCGTTTCTCAAAATAGACAGCATAAAGTCAAAGAGGCGAGTGGAATTGAGGGGTGGGGTTGATTTACATATCAAAACCTCGCGATCAGGACGCCGTTTCTCAAAATATCTGACTGGCAAAATTATAAAGAAACCATAACATAAAGTGATTAAATATTAAAGTCAAAGCGGAGGAGAGCCGGATGGGGTGTCGGTATCTATCAACGAATCAATAGTATGGAAATCATTCATTTCGTAGATTATTCAGGGCTACTATTGTTATTTTGGGAATTTTCGCTTTTCACATTTATTAATATTCTTCATATTATAGGCTAGTGTTATAATTATCATCATCATCATCATCATCATCAATATTATCAATATTATCATCAGGCTAGTGTTATTATTAACATCATCATTATCATCATTATTATCATCAATATTATTATTAGGCTAGTGTTATTATTAACATCATCATCTTCATCATTATTATCATCAATATTATCATCAGGCTAGTGTTATTATTAACATCATCATTATCATCATTATCATCAATATTATTATTAGGCTAGTGTTATTATTAACATCATCATTATCATCATTATTATCATCAATATTATCTATTATCATCAATATTATTATTAGGCTAGTGTTATTATTAACTTCATCATCATCATTATTATCATCAATATTATTATTAGGATAGTGCTATTATTAACATCATCATTATCATCATTATTATCATCAATATTATCATTAGGCTAGTGTTATTATTAACATCATCATTATCATTATTATTATCATCAATATTATCATTAGGCTAGTGTTATTATTAACATCATCATCATCATCATTATCATCAATATTATCATTAGGCTAGTGTTATTATTAACATCATCATTATCATCATTATTATCATCAATATTATCATTAGGCTAGTGTTATTATTAACATCATCATTATCATCATTATTATCATCAATATTATCATTAGGCTAGTGTTATTATTAACATCATCATTATCATCATCATTATCATCAATATTATTATTAGGATAGTGTTATTATTAACATCATCATTATCATTATTATTATCATCAATATTATCATTAGGCTAGTGTTATTATTAACATCATCATCATCATCATTATCATCAATATTATCATTAGGCTAGTGTTATTATTAACATCACCATTATCATCATCATTATCATCAATATTATTATTAGGCTAGTGTTATTACTATTATACTGACTATAATTTACGATGACCCAAGTTAGACGATGGGTAAATCAGACCAACCGTAACATTGTGTCAAGTCTAATTAAAAAGACAATGGTTATTCAGGTAATAAATAAAGTATATAATTTGTTTGTTAATTCTGATGTCAGTTTATTACTTCCCCTTTATACATTATATGGTGTTTTATTTCTCTATTCAGTTTATATAAAACCTATTCTACCAGTTTTTACATCATCAATCACTTAAAGTAATCACCATGTCGTTATCAATTCACTCATTTTCTAACTCAAATCTCTGATAAAAACTGACAGCTTTTTAGTTTAAGAACAATTATTTAGTCTAAAATTTGAGTCCCTTCATAAAGATATATTTTACGAAGATAGTTATTTCAGGTTGCAGGCAAAAATCTTATATTCATTACATCTCTTCACCTTATTGTACTGTTGGTATGTTTGTATGCTACCCATTGTATGTATAATACATCTTATTTTATCTTATTGTACTGTTGGTATGTTTGTATGCTACCCATTGTATGTATAATACATCTTATTTTATCTTATTGTACTGTTGGTATGTTTGTATGCTACCCATTGTATGTATAATACATCTTATTTTATCTTATTGTACTGTTGGTATGTTTGTATGCTACCCATTGTATGTATAATACATCTTATTTTATCTTATTGTACTGTTGGTATGTTTGTATGCTACCCATTGTATGTATAATACATCTTATTTTATCTTATTGTACTGTTGGTATGTTTGTATGCTACCCATTGTATGTATAATACATCTTATCTTATCTTATTGTACTGTTGGTATGTTTGTATGCTACCCATTGTATGTATAATACATCTTATTTTATCTTATTGTACTGTTGGTATGTTTGTATGCTACCCATTGTATGTATAATACATCTTATTTTATCTTATTGTATGAATGGGCAGCGGAAGGTATGGTATTTTCAAACCATATTAAGGAAAGGGGGGGGGGGGGGGGGCGCCTCACTTGTGTCGCTGAGAGATGAAGTTCTGACACCAACTTCTCAACCAAACTGTTAGATATACATATAGACATAGACATAGATATAGATATAGATATAGATATAGATATAGACATAGACATAGACATAGATATAGAATCAATTTTTCTCACTTTTACACAGAATCTTAAACCAATATCTCAAGACCCGTTATAATCTTTAATAATCAAAAAATTCTAAAAATAGAATGAAAATATTTCTTCCTAATCACTGATCATTACACCTGTTTTTTTTAAATTTAGAATTATCTGTCTATAAAGAATGAATTATCTGTCTATAAAGAATGAATTGTCTGTCTATAAAGAATGAATTGTCTGTCTGTCTATAAAGAATGAATTATCTGTCTATAAAGAATGAATTGTCTGTCTGTCTATAAAGAATGAATTATCTGTCTATAAAGAATGAATTGTCTGTCTGTCTATAAAGAATGAATTATCTGTCTGTCTATAAAGAATGAATTATCGGTCTATAAAGAATGAATTATCTGTCTGTCTATAAAGAATGAATTGTCTGTCTATAAAGAATGAATTATCTGTCTATAAAGAATGAATTGTCTGTCTATAAAGAATGAATTGTCTGTCTATAAAGAATGAATTGTCTGTCTGTCTATAAAGAATGAATTATCTGTCTATAAAGAATGAATTATCTGTCTGTCTATAAAGAATGAATTGTCTGTCTGTCTATAAAGTGTCTGTCTATAATGAATGAATTATCTGTCTATAAAGAATGAATTGTCTGTCTATAAGGAATGAATTATCTGTCTATAAGGAATGAATTGTCTGTCTA